TTGGAAGAGAGGCATGGTCGAAGACGCCGTTTCACCACTTCTTAGAACGGAGGATCGATTATTGCGAGTCACTCGGCAGCAACGAGTGGATGCATTATTTTGTCGCGCGATATTGCGCCGGTTCTCATGCCGGTATTCCCGCCTCTCCAGGTACAGTCACGAGCCGGTCTCTTCCTTTCCGCTTGCGCGTTATAATTCAAAGCATTCGGATTTCCAGCCGATCACCACGATTCCGGGACACTACCGAACGACAAATATTTGTGGAGCACGCAACGTTCCTCGGGCTAATTCGAAACGGAAGAAAAGTTCGCCTCCGCGAAGCACTTTATTAAATGAAATTGCGAAGTCGGCTTAAACGTTATTACACTAATTGCGTTTCGATTATTTAGAACGCCGAGAGGGATCGAGTAATCGAAGAACATTCAAAATTTGAACAAGACGCCGAGCCCGTTGATCCGTCCAATTAAATTAATTACTGTATGTCGCCGGTCAGACGCGAAAAGCCGAAATTTCGAGCGTCTCTAAAGAAACTATCTATTCGAAGAATTACTCACTTGATTAGTTCATTCCGTTTGAAGGCAGCAACGCAAATAAGCTCGGCTGGAGGTATAAGCGTGCTCCAATGCCGAGAATTTAATAACACCGGCGAATCTAATTAAATCGGCCAGAGTCCACTCCTGGTGAATCAGATTTGCTACTTCACTGCTACGTGAAATTTAAACAATTAAAATATATTACACTGCGAACCCGTTATTATATTCCACCGTTGAATCCTCTCCGCTAGCGACGGTGCACAACATTCTAACAAAAATACCTTCCCAGAACCTCTCCGACGATCCCCAGTGCCGGCTGCTTCGTAAAATCTAACCGGAACGATGTGTCCTATGTCAACAGACTCGAATCTGCGACCAGGTCCCTAAAGATCAGCGCTCCTCAGCGCGTGGTCATCGAATCCTGGGCAAACGAGATCTCGGCCTCGTGTCTGACCGACCTGAAGCTGCAGAGCGTGCACGGCGCGATCAGGCTGGACGCGAAGACGGTGTTCATGAAGGGCCTGAAGACGGCCAGCCCCGGCCAGGGCCACCCGTCGCGGGAGCAGCAGCAACAGCAGCAACAGCAGCAACAGCAGCAGCAGCACTCGTCGAGGACGTCTTCCCACCAGAGTCAGAGGGAGACGACGATCTATCAGTTGTGTGCCTGTGCTAACGGGAAACTGTTTCTAGCCAGGTCCGAGGGCAGCTGTCTGGCGGACAAATCGATTTGCTAATACCCCGTGACCCGAATTAGACGCGAGTTAATCGAGAACTGAATGGTATCCCGCGGTCCCGTGCAATCCTACCGCGTGGTCCGCGGATTGCGGGGCGCGCGTCCGCCGGGTCGCGTGAAACTGTCGTAGAAATCCGAGCAGGTCGCGCGGTGTACAGTAGCTCGAAGCCCCGAGATCGCCCGAGGCCTTCCGCTTTTCGCTGGTGTTTCCGTTTTAGAGCGGCGCGGTGCTGTCCTTTTCGTGCTCCTTCGGACCCGCCGGACCCGCACGCGCGTCCGGCTGGCGCCTCGTCGAAGGACACTCCAGACTCTGAACGAGGAGTAGGTTTCCTACGCGAGTCCCTTGTACTCTAGGAAGCTCGCGAGCTGGCGTCTGAAAGGGCAGGCGATGGAGAACACGTTGCATATGGTGTATTTCATGGATTTACTGTGGAAAGATTGATCATTGGGTTCTTGAACGAGGTTTATGAGTTTAGATTGGGACTTGAATGATTTCATTTTATTTTGTGTTATGAGAGTAGAAGATTTTGTAAGATTTTGTGAAGAGTTGTTCATTTTATTTCTAATGGTAATTGTGAGAATTATTAGTTGCTGCGAGATGTTAGTTATCCAGTAGATCTGCGAGAATTTGTTACCTATGGAACGTTGTTTCTTTTCAAGGTTTAATTAAGTGGCGGTTGGTAAAGCGTCGAGGAGAAATATCGCCTGGATATTCTTCGAACGCAACAACGGTTGTTCCGAGGAAATGAAATAGTAGTCATTACGATAATAGTCGATCGCATTTCTCATGTCTGCATGTACAAGCAAGGGTTCCTTGGTTGCTCCTGAAATCAGTTCGATCCAATCGTTAATCCACTTTCATATACGAACGAGCGAAGGTATATGCGAACTTCTGGAACTTAGAATTCTTATACTGTCAACGCGGCTGTCGCCAGAAGCAGCAGAAACGCTTTCAAGACACCACTCAATTGATCGTTCCGATGAATCACCCAACAGAAATACGCAGAAAATATTAAAAATCATTTGCTTGATTCGTGCTTGATGCAGAGTTCAAACAATCGATATCTTTCCTAAACTAATCAATCCGTGACTAAACGCAACTAATGAACGATACGCAAATTGCTAAAATCTTACCTCGAACATTCATTTCCAGCTTTGGCTAGCATGAAAGGAGCTTCTGTAATAGAAGCGCGGTGACAAATAGACACTCGTCTTGTCTACAACGAAGCAGCCTCCTAAGTTTCGTCAAACCGGAGACTGTCGATCGATTGATACCCTCAGTTAGTAGTTTTGACGGTGCAAAAGTACGCGTAGAGGTTTCGATATTGGCCAGTATGACGTCCATTTCAGTCGCCATCTTCCGAGCTGCCAATCGTGTGTGTACGTAGCATTGTCGGCGGCGCTACTCCGTGATGTATATCTTGTATATCAATAAAACTGTCCGATCACCGGTAGGCAACGACTGATCATTGAATCGTCACCTCCTGTCTATCCTCGCCCGTAAGCTATAGTCGTCCATCTCTCTCCCCTCGGTGCCCCCCTGCCCCCCCTCCTAACCATGCCTTCTGGTTTTTTTGCGCAAACGTTCGCGTGGCCAGTCGATAGGCAACGATATGCAGTTCCTTTGAGCCCGGAATGTGAACGTTCGTGTAGCGAACGGGAATGAAAGCGTGTGCACGCGTCCATGTAATTTCTTGCGGTCTGGAGACACTCCTTAAGTGGAAATCGTTGGCTTGTCGAGGTCGCTACCGATCTGTTCGATGACTTTGATTTTTACAATAAGTGAAAAAATATTTCATTGTTCATCCGTGCTCTGTTTTTACAGTCTATAAGTATACGTTTGAACGTTTTCTTCTTATTTTCAGTTGATACGATATAATAATTATAGACGCGCGTAATGACCTCGACAAGCTATATTATGTTTCCCTGTCGGAATTTCCAGCGACGATGTCTGTTCGCCCGCTTCCGGAGCGCCGATTGAGGAAGCGTGATGGTTTAGAAAAGGTTTATTTTGGAGCGTGTGTTACGGTAACGGGAGAAGCGTGTGTAGTTATTGTAAAGGATCAGGTTGTGATCCAGCTTGTACGCTGTACATCGGCCATGTCCATCTATTTATGTATGTGGCAATAAAGTCGTTATTGTTACTATTATTATTAATTCCAGCAGTGTCCTGTCATTTCTTCTTTATTCCACTGCAGATTTTTATCTACCGAGATCACGGTACGAGATACCTATACAGTTTATCACGATTTTCCTGTCTCGATTATAACTATTATCGTATAAAACACTCGCCAACCTTCCGTCTGCCTCTGTAGCCAAAGAAAATCGCATAAAAATTCGCAGTCCGCTCATCGAACATCGCCCGAAGGGATCCCAGCAGGCTAAGCAAATGTCATTTAATTTTCATTCAACCCCTGATCATTCAGCGCAGACGGAGAGGAACCTTCGGCCGGCGCCGAAAGATTTTTCCACCGAGACGGAGGGAGAGTTGGCTCGCTAATGCCGATGCTCTTGACGTCGACGAAAGAACGGACCGGCGATGCCCGGGGTTATCCGTTCCGTCGGCGCACGGGCGTACCGGGGAGCGCGATAAACGATAATGGACACGAAATTAGGCGAAACGAAAATAGTTTCGGGAGAAGCCGATCTCGCTGCATAATATAGTATACGTCAAGCCGGCTGACAGGTAGCAGGGGCAATCTCACCTAGTAGCCCCTTAAACGGCTCTGACGGCAAGGTAATTTTCTCGGAATTCGAGATTAAAATTGCATCCAGCTTGGAAGGGAACAAAGTGCGGCCTCAGCCACGCCGGCCGGGAGGGCTCGGGGATTACGGCGGGCGGAGGGAGCGGAGCAATCTAACAAGCGGGCCGGGGGGACCGCGGGTGGTGTGAATTAGCAGCGGCCAAGTAAAAAACAACACTTCCACGATGAAAAATGCTCGTAGAATCCCACCGTATTACCCTAAAACGCGCGGATCGGCGGAACACGGTAGGCCGCCGCTGAAGGTTTTCGAAAAGATAACGCTCCGGACAGCTTTGTTCCGTTGCGTTCGTTCTGTAAGATTATCGGTGATTCAGGGAGTTTCAGTTGATTGATTGAATAGTTTCTTTGCAATTGGTGGATGAAGCGTGACGAAGGGCGAGCGCTGTGATAGGCTTGGAAATTACTGAAATATGCTGTAAATTTGATTTATTGATATTTCGAGACGCGGGAGCGTTGTTTTAAGCCCTTGCCTTATAACAACGTGTCAGATTCGTGAAGATTTTAAACAGAATTTAATACAAATTGCGTACTACTCTTCTGTTACGAATTATTGCAGCTTAGAGCAAACAGATGTAGAATATGCCTAGGATTTTTGTCTTTTTCCAATAAATTTTTAATAACGAAGCAGGTGCGTCGATCATAGTTGAGAAAGAAATCATAGGTCAAGGGGTTAAACGTTCATTCGCGAAGGCGACTTGGTGAATCTTCGAATCGAGGAAAATGTCGGGTTTCAGGTTAGAATTGTTTCTTTTCTCCCTTTTTATAGAATGTGTATATAATGGATCATTTTGGAAAATGAGGTCTTTTCTGGATATTCCTAGGGTTTAGGTGAGCTACGTAGAATCCTTGAGAAGGCAATGTCACAGAAGACGAGTAATACTGGGAATACGACTAAACGAGTAGTATAGGTTCGCCATAAATCAGACGAATGAAGTTTCGGTCGAACAATAGAAACAATACAGTTTCTTTTAAAGATTACTATTCATTCCGTAATGATAAATTCTCGTTCACTATAATGGCAACGATTATAAGCAAAATTCTATTTTCCTCAACCCCAAGGAAACTAGTAAAACGATAATCATCCGCTCTCCAAGAAGCTCCCACTGTCTTTCCACGAGCAGTTCCAAGAGAACACGTTCTTGTACCGATAATAATTGCACCTTAAATACCGCCTTATATTTTCCCGCATTAAAAGAGAATCGCAAGGTCCGCCCATTATTCCCGCTTTTCAAATGGAAGAGCCCCTCGAGGAAGATACCGAAGACGCGGCTCGTAGCTGTGTCCCGAGTCCACGCGGGCTCGCGACACGTCAATTGTTATCGGGACGCGAGGAAGTGCTCCGAACTCGCCGTTAATGAATTAGTGCCCGGAGCTGTGCCGTCGACGAGCGCAGACAATGATCGAAGCGAACAGAAAGAAACCTGCGAAACCCTCGAGTCTCGACCGAAAAAGAGCCGGGAATAAAGACGGAAAAGAAACGAGGTCACGCGCGTCCTGTGAACCAGAATCCGCGTATCGCCGACAGATCGCGCACGCAATTGTAAATTCCCCGCTCGGGAATGGCGGTCACGTGCGTCGGTTGGACGCGCAATCTGCTTAAAATCTGGCGTACGGATAGGTACA